CTCTCCCTTCGCCCCTCCCCCCCCCCCCCCCCCCCTTGCCCCCAGTGCCCTTGCCCTTTCACCTCCGGGCCCCTGGGCTGTCAGCTAGTGCGAGGGTTCGGGCGGATCTGGCAGTGGGCTGCTAGCGCTCTGTAAGAGATTCTCAATGCGATGATTTTCAGATCTGCGGCGCTTGACAGGGGCCCTGGGCAACCGATCTAATATGGTAGTGGTGGTACCTGTTGTAGAGTGGCAGCCCTCTCTTTTTCTTTTGTTTTGCGATTACGCACTTATGTAAACTTGGCTGTAGGCTACGCTTCTGCCCAAGCAGCTAAGATGATAGACAGCACATCGTACATACGAGGAGCACTACTTGATGTATGTAAGTCCATGTGCGTAGTTGTCATCCAACGGGCCTAAGGGAAGTGATATGCAATGTATGGATGCCTTCTAGAAGGATCAACATACAACTAGACAAGTCTAGTTTGCGAAGTCATTACTCTTTGCTCTCTAGGCATGTATGTATGGGTGTGTGTGTGTGTGTGTGTGTGTCTATTATGTATGTTGTGTGTTTTTGCGGTTGTAGTTGCACCTGGACGAAAGAAATTTCTAGTTTCTACCACCTATGGCAAATTGAAATGTCGATCCACGAACCGAGATTTGTATACTCGTCCCCACTCGTCATTAATTGGCGCGCGCGCACGCAGAGATTGTACATAATCTACTAGCACATGTGTGCTTATCCTCTACAACAATCCCTGGCCATTGCGATCAAGTGAACATGAGTGCATTAAAAACCCATGAAAATGTCAAAGAAATGGTAGGATGAGAATGATCCAAGGTACGAAACGTGTGGCATGTCTTGAATCAGGCCGCAACGAAAGACGTGGCATGTAAGAAGAAGAGAATTATGCAGTAGCATGTAGATCGCCTCCTCATGAAGAGAAAAAACAGTCATATTTCAATGTCAATATGACGATACTTGCACGTTTTGCTGGGTATCAATGTTTTGTGTGTCATGGGCCAAAAATGTATGTCGATGGCTGCATGTGGAATTAGTGTGGCCGAGACGGCAGATATTGGTGTAGCATCGTCCATCCGCTATCGCACCGACATTACCCGTAGTTGAGTTGTAATCGACTATTTTCTCTCGTCTAGGTAAAAAATTATGATAATAGTAAATGATAACTAATAAAAAAAAAAAATCTCTTTGTCGGCAAGGCTGCGCGCTTCCGCTTACACCGTAACTCTTTCGTGAAGAATATCCTAATGTAGAAATCCTACGGGCGAGGCGGGGGGTTGAGGGAGCAAATACTCTTTCTCTTTGCGGTTGATTGGCGCAGGTCAGCAGCTAGCGGGAAAGGCAAACCAAGAGGTCGGTCCGTTGACTGATTGTTGCTTTTTCCCCCCTCTTTCCGCTCGGTTTCTGCAATAGAAGGGAACAAGAACAAAAGAACATTTCCCAATGCCGGCAGCATAATACACGTACACTACAGTGATGGGAAAAGAAGCAACTTATTGAGCATGTACCATGTCCATGTGTCCATGTAAGTCAAGCGAGCCGCACACAAAGGCAGGAAGAAGAAAAAAGCCTTCCGTGCGGGCCAAGCGGCGTCCCGTCAAATGAACCCAAATCTGCGACAAAGTTTCCCGAAATGGATCATCCCGTCAGGGACAGGTCTATGGTATTTGTGTAGTACCTAAATCCTTCGCTGCTGCTGCTCGCAAGACCAAGACCTATTTTCCTTTCCCCTTTACCAACTTTTACTCTCTTTTTAGTCTGATTCTTGTTGTTTTCTTTTCCTGAGAGGTCTTAGACAAATGCACATGCGGACGCGGACGTACAATGGGTTCTTCCGTGTTTTCGCGGGCGCATCTGGACCTATGCCATGAATTTTGCTTGTCCTCTTGAAAAAAAAAAAAGAAAAAAAAAAGAAAGCCCCGGGCCTAGAGGTCGGCCGCAAATACTTTTCGAGGTTCGTAGTCTTTTCGGTGATTTCGGGACCCCCAAATAGACGTGCACGCTTTGTCCCGGCCATTATCAATTTGCTCTGTCACCCCACGAACCGGCTTTTTCGCGGTATCGGAGTCCCGTAATTGGATGTACCAGGGGTGGGTGGCTTACTCTCAGTCTCTCTCTGTTCGGTGCAGTGGAAACTAGAATAGCAGGGTCCTCATGCAGGCTGAGAAGGAGGAAAAAAAAATTGCAATTCCTGCCCAGGCCTCCATGCATACCAAGGAGAATTCTGCTATTGTAGGGTTACATTCTTATGGCTGTCATGTCATACTCCCATGTCTAAATTTCCTCATGCGCAACCCAAAGTGCGGAACCAAATAAATCTCTGTTATTAGACACGAGATCGATCACCGCACGGCTGTTCTCAGATGCAAGATGTGACTGACCGTTTCTCAATGCGATACCGAAGAAGAAAGAGACTTCATGCTTTTGCTTTTCCCCCCCTCTTCCTCTTTGCGCATATTCCGTCTATCGCGCTTATAACCATTTTCTTCATGTTCAACCGTCCGTACTTGCACAGACCCGACCTAAAGCTCATAACAATTCATTCATTCATTCCCAACCACCAATTGACTAGATGCTGCAACATAGTTACCTCGAACCAACTAAGGTAGCTTTGGGCAATCCTTCGAGTATGATCAAGCCCCCGATTGTACAATGATGATGATACTAGCAAAGGGAAAAAAAACGCCTATCCCGCAAGCATGCAGACAGGCCTTTTCATGATCAATGCAGCAAGCAGTAAAATTAGGTACGTACCGAGCACTACTACATAGTATGTACTAAATACGGCTACCCATGCAACTACCACATAGTATTTCCAAGGGTAAGGCGGCGGGGGTCCGTCTTAGACAAAAGTGCGGAACCTCGAGACGCGCACGAAAATAGTGCCTAACCTAGATCAAGCTGGCGGCGTCTTTTTTTTCTTTCTCTTTCTTGTATGGTTGTTATTGTGATTGTGGGTTGTTGTTATTGTTGTTGTGCTGCTATTAAGTCATATCTGCCTACTACATGGACTGGTTACAGGCTTGTGTATGCACATACCTTACCTACATACACCTGGGCATTTTTAACAAATTGCCCTTGGCCCTAGTCTATAATATCTCTAGCACTATAGCGCGGTACTTCCCTTGCACCAAGAGACATTCATTACCTACATCTTCTTTTGCGATCCCTGGTTAGCGTTGATTGGCAGGGCTCTGGTTCTGTTCTGTCCGTCCTGCTCTCTCTTTTTCTCACTTTCGATCATGGGAAGAGGGGGACTGGACCCGGGGGGGGGGGGGGGGGAGGGGGGTGGAAGTAGCGACACC